TAACCGAGACACAAATCTAAAGCTTTTAAAAAAGCTTAAGGAATTTAGATTTTGAGTCAAGAAAAAACTAGCAAAAGTATTAAGGCACTTTGATCGGATCGAGATGGTGAATACTTAAGCACTCGAATCTTTATATCATTTAGAAGAAAAATGGATTATCTTTTAATGGAATCCAATAAGAACATCGTAAATGAATGGTGTGTTCGAAAGAAGGAACAAGATACTATTAGACATGATTTGATTCATGATCAATCGAAATAATATCCTTATTTCATTTTGGGGATATGCACACCTTATGATAACATTTATTTTGAACAAGTATTCGACAAAATCTATTGATTAGACTCCATATAAAGATATAGAAAGGAAATAAAGTAAATTTATATTTTCTTAAGATTTAGGGTCGTGAAGCATATGTCAAACGTTTAGACGAAGACAAGATAGAGCCAAAATCAAAGAATAAATTTATAGGATATCCAAAAGATATATATAGATATTATTTTTTTTACCACTAGAACAAAGTGTTGTTTGTGATTAGACATGTTATATTCATTGAGAAGGAATTTGCAGATGCTAGAAATAGTGGAACAAAAGTTAAACTTATTGAGATTCGACTAGACTCATAAAAATTGACACTCAACTAGTAGAACCCCAAATACAAAGGTTACAAAGTATTGTAACTATCTCATAAATAGATACACAAGAACTTCATAAGTCTAAGCAAGTTTGTTAAAGAGTTAAAAAAATATGATCTTCTTGCCTCGACACATGGTGATATGTATCCTAAAGTGGATGACGAAGCTAATACCTACGAGGAGGCAATATTAGACATTGACTCCTAGATATGAAATATATATGAAAAAAACTATTTTCCTTTATGGAAAGCTAAATAAGGTTATGTAGATGACACACCTTGATGGTTCTACCACCAAAAAACATGCAAATAAGATTTACAAATTGCAAAGATGCATTTATGGACTTGAGCATGCCTCTAGGAATTAGAATCAATGTTTTGATAAAATAATCAAAGGGTTTGACTTTTCATAAAAATAAAGATTAATCTTGTATATATAGAAGGTTAATGGGAGCTTAGTAGTCTTTATTGTTTTATATGAAGAGAACAAACTACCTCTCGTATATATAACATTATTGATCATGTTGTAATCTATAGATGATTATGTATTCAAGAATGTCTCCATGTAAGATATGGGAGGGCGAGTCTAGATTTTAGGAATCAAGATCTATACAGATAAATCATGTAGAATTTTAGGGCTCTCTCAAGTTAGTTACATTGACATGATACTAAAATGTTTAGTATAGAAGAATCAAATAAAGGACTTCTTCCAATGTCACGTGGCTTGATGACCGACAATAAATGATTTATAGTACAAGCTAACAAACCAAGGTCTTAACAATAGTCGAAGCATCTACTATGATGTTATCACCTGATTAGAGGGATTATCAATCATGGTGATATAAAGATAGAAAAGGTCCACACTAATGATAACATAGATAACCCCTCGACCAAGCCTTCATCACAACAAAAATATGGGACCCTTGTTTGATCGTCGTGCATAAGGGACATAACCGGTTAGCTCTAGTGCAAATGGGAGATTGTTAGTATAGATGGCAAAATCCAAGTTTGTTTGGATGGTTTGATTTATTATACCATTTTATTTTTATATTAATAAAATAAATCTTACTATTAATTCTTATTATTTATAATTTGATACAATTAGATAGAAGTCCATATGATATACATTGCATTAATGATTAATAGAAAGATGTGAGACAAATATTAATGCACTTAAATGATATCATTAAATGTCCTAAGTAATAGCATTGTCAAGAATGGACACTAAATATATGAGGTAAGACTTGTAAATGTCATGCTCTTGCTATAAGATAATAGTAGAAAATCTCACATATATTGGCATGGTGCTGCCAAAACAAGTACTTAAGTTATTAATGTTAGAGAATCTATCATTGGACATGATACACCATGAGAACCTATTTGTTTTAGTCTATGAAAATCTTATAGAAGATGGATACAAATAGTCCTTTGACTTAAAATCATCACGGTTATTTCATCGGAGGATTTATGTACTTTGACATTTATTTTGATGGGCATAGTTAAGACCTTCATGTGGTGATTTGTTAGGTATAATATGAATCTAATGAAGATAGGTGAATGATTGAAATAGGACATGTCATTCTTTATATGCTAAAGGAGTTATCACATTATATTTCGATAAATATCTACTCAAGAAATTTGTGGCCATAGTGGGAGTATACAAATAGAGCATAATTGGTTTACTTTAGAGTTAAGACATTTGAAAAAAAAAAAACTTATGTAATCATAATCAAATAGACTATAAATCAATTTTAAGATCACACTATGATAAATTGATATGAGAATTGAATTGTATAGTAACCATGCTCATGAAAGGTAATTGTGGATTAATTAAGAGAATTAGATAGTCATGATGCCTTGCTAGAGGCCAATCTTGAATTATGTATTAATATATAAAAGATGTGTCTTTTATTCAAGATGCATTGCTAGCATATCTAGAAGTCTATTAAGTTACACATATAAGTTTAAACCTTCATATAATAAAAGAGAAAAAAATATTTTGGAAAAAGGTTTCTTGTTTTGGATTTTTTTTTTTGAAATGGAAAGTTTTTTGTTTTGGAAAATTTTTTCTAAAATAAAAAGTTTTCTATTTTAGAAATTAGTTTTCCAATTTGGAATTCATTTCCAAATTTGGAAGAAAATTATATATAAAGGAAATTAGTTTCCTAATTTAGGTTTAAGGGTAATTTGAAAAGTTGTTTCCTAATGTAGGCTTTCTAAAAATATTTGACTCAATTTATTTGGATGGTCTAAATTAATAAGTAATTGATTAAACCAAAAGAGTTTGACGAAATAAGCTTAATTTAAAAGTCCGTAAAATATTTTGGTGAAAGGATAAACTTGATTACTATTAAATAAGGTTAAACATTTAAAGGATAAGGTTAGATAAAGCCCGTATAGGCATCATCTCCTTGACCTCCATGGAGAAGTTATCACCTTATATATAAATAAAAGAGAGAGATAGGCGGCAAGGGAAGCAAGAAAAAGAAAAGAAACACATGGCATAAAGAAAAAGGAGAGGAAAAATGTTTTTCTTCCTAAAAAAAAAAAACTTACTACATCTCTCCTTGAAAAGCTAAAAGTTGATGCAAATTACACTATAGGATTTCTATAGAAAAATTAAATACATAAAAGGATTGGATCTAGCACTCTGTGATTTCTATAGCTTCTTATGTGGGTGTTTGATGTGTGTGGATATCTAATAAAGGCTGGACACTTGGACAATTTCCTTTTTGTTTGAATGAGTTCCGCACTATAAGAGGTAATCTTTCACCCATATTTATATCATGTTTATTATATATGATTAGTTGATTCAATAACATGATCTTGATAACCCTAGATGGAGAAATTTTTTTAATTTTACGCCTCCATTGGATGCATGATCCATTAGATTATGCGTTGATTTGACTCGTGATTGTACAGTTTTTCTTATGATTGTATAGCTTTTCTTTCCTTTTTCTTAGGCTCCAATTATGTACACAAACACACACACACACACACATACTTTTATGTGTGTGAGTGCGTGTATGCATGCGTGCGTGTGTGTGTAACCTCTATACAATTCTAAAAGAAATATACACCTAAACTTTCTAGATTATAACATTTGAAAGAATTTCACTCCAAAACTAATGCTCTGCATGGTTAGATAATGAAGGTCATTGAAAATTTCCAAAAGGATCAAATCGCCTTATCTTATGGCTCCTTCCTCTAAAACTAACAAGTCATGAGTTTATAAGTAGATGACTTCGAATCATCGAAAATTGGACTATACTACTTGAAATAATTAATACCAAGTTGGTATTGTACCAATAATAGATTGCTACCCATGTCCATGGTTAAGAGTTGCCCGATTAGTGATTGTTAGAGCACATTCTACATTAAATAGTTAAAAAAAGTAATATATAAAGTTGAGAATGAACTACCTACCATAAAGCTTATGTCTTTTGGATGAAACTAGCATGCTATGTGACCATGCCCTTGGCAATTATGGATAGTCAAGGTATTAGTGTCCAAGTAACAAGAATTAGGTGTGTGGGAAGAATAAGTATGAGATGAACAAGATGAGGAGTAGTTAATAACATAACTGCTATAAGCACAATGACCATGACCCCTCTTTCCTCTACCTCTACCATGATATAGATTGCCACCACAAGAGGAAAAATGGGAAGTGTTGGGTTCCCACATCATGCACGATCGCTTCCATATTCAATTGATGCTTCTTACTTAACAACGGACCATATAAATCATCATAAGAGATGGCAATAAGCCTAGCCACTAGAGATCAAACAAAAGTCAGTTCCGACCAAATGGTAATCTATTGTCAATTCTAATACCATGTAGATGTTTAGTGTTCGATGAATTTAGCACACCATTGAGTGTTTTATATTAATGTATATATAGATTACGGAGTACCTATTTAATAAGGACTACCGTACATAAGAATAAATAGAGTTTTATCATATTTACAACACATATCTCTTTACAATTCTATTAGTTATAACAATGGGTTAAATTTTTATATGAATGAAGTAGCAACAATTAAAGTATCTAATAATTTTTCGTTAATTAGAGTAATGATACTTAAATATAGTAACAATATTACTAAAATTATATACCTAGCTAACCCGATCATGGGATATTACAGTGGTTCATGATTTGATGATTGCCAAATGTTATGTTTTAGTATAAGGTTTACTTGTGCCATACCAAATCGGTAAAAGTACACAAAACAATATTTTGTGGGATCAAGCTTGTTTCTATCCTAGGTCATTGTCATTGCCCATAAAACAAAAGAAAGGGCGACTTTCAAGTCATTTTCTTTCCAACAATGTTCAGTTAACAACTCATGTGATACAAATTACAATAGGAAGCAACCCATAGGTAAGTGGCAAAGATGAGAAATTGGTATCTCAACTATGCTCGGCTTCTTGCCAAAAGATTAAATTAGAAAGAAAATAATCTATCTTTTTTCTTTCTTTTTCTTTTTCTTTTTTATCTAGTAGGATACTAGCTCAACACTCGCATGTTGTCGTGGATAAGTTTATTATATATATGTTTTAATAATTAAAATAATTTAAAAATATAAATATAAAATAAAAATTAATTAACACTTATTGGAAAAAACTTTTGTATATATATATATATATATATATATATATATATAGTTGAATTTAAATATATCTTAGGAGTAGTTTTTATTTTGATAGATAAAAAATACATGCAATTAATTATTTATTTTAAAAAAATTAAATTAGAAGGAAGTGTTTAATCAATTTATATTAGAAGAATATTAAATTTTAGTTAATGAATATTTATAAAAATAGAAAAGTAACCATTGATTATGGAAAAAAAGATTATTTTGATTAAATAATAATTAATGAAAAAATCGAGTCCAAAAAAAAAATTATAGGGACTTTTTTGTAATATTAATTAAAATTAAAAACTCGTTTTATATAAAATAATAACTTAAAGGATCAAATTGTTAGATATTGAAAAAATTGACAAATAAATCATTTATTTTTATTGGTTTCACTATAGCAGAAGGGGTTTAGCTATGGTGAAACCACGTCTCATTTTAGTATATGTTATAATAATGATATAAAAAGTAAAAAGGAAAAAGGAAAAACTCAAAGAAGATTAACTAAATAAACAAAAAAAAAATGATAGGTTACTATTCATACACTAACATTTCATTATTCATTATTTTTTTTACACTTTGGTCTCTCGATCTTTGTCAAAGAATCTTTTGGTCTACATCTTCATTTGCTCATTCATTTTGGTCCCTAGATGAGAGAGAAGGAAGGGAGAAGAGAGAGACGGGGAGGAGAGAGAGAGATCGCCGGCTAAGCTTATTTAGGTCACTTTGGTCGCCGAAAATCCAATAGATTCTTTTATTTTTGAAAGATGAGTTTGTCCATGGTTGTTTCAAGTCATTCAAGAATTAGAGGAGGTAGATCGGAGCCAAAAAAAGGAAACAATGTTTCGATTTGATTTTGTAATTTTTTTTTTTATTTTTGTGTCTATTATAATGATTTTAAGGTTTTAGATATGTTTATTGGCTTTATTCCGGTCATTTAGAGGTGTTTGGAGAAACAAATGATGTCGGAATTCAATTTCTAGGAGTCTCAAGCTTGACCTTCGATTTTTCAACAACCTCGATTCGTCGAAGTTGCATCCTCTTTTTTTTTTTTTTTTAGGTCTTCGACAGCAGCCCGAGCCTAACGCGCGAGCTCGAGCTACTCGACCGAGCTTGACGCGTAGGCTCGAACTACCCGGTGCGCGAGCCGCTTTTCTTTTTTTTTTCCTCTCGTTTCGAACATGCGGTTGTTGCTTATGAAATTGGTTTTTATTTTGGTCCCTTCTTTCTATTTCTTTTTTATTTTGGTCGATAAAATTTTCTTATATTTGATTTTTATCCCTATCATAAATATTAAAATTTTATTATATGTGATTTTGATCCTTATAATAAATTTGTTTTTTAGCTTTTAGTAAAAATTTATGTTCTTTTTTTGCTTTTATTTTTTAATATGCTTTTATTTTAGTCATTAAAGTTTTCTCATATTTGATTTTTATCTTTGTTATACTAAAACTAAATAAAGTTTACTTTCCTAAGGTTGTTTTTTTTTTCTTTTTAGTTAAATTTTCTTTCTAATCTAATTTTTGTTTTGTGATTTTTTCTGTGTTTTCATCATTAAATTTAGTAGAAAGTCTTTTTTTTGTACTTATTTTTTATTTTGATCATTAAATTTTTTCTTTACAAGGAACTATTTTTTACTTGTAGTAAAACTTTTTGTTATATTTTGGTTTTTGTTTTATAATCATTATATGTGATTTTGATCCTTATAATAAATTTTTTTTTTAGCTTTTAGTAAAAATTTATGTTCTTTTTTTTGTTTTTATTTTTTAATATGCTTTTATTTTAGTCATTAAAGTTTTCTCATATTTGATTTTTATCTTTGTTATACTAAAACTAAATAAAGTTTACTTTCCTAAGGTTGTTTTTTTTTTCCTTTTAGTTAAATTTTCTTTCTAATCTAATTTTTGTTTTGTGATTTTTTTCGTGTTTTCATCATTAAATTTAGTAGAAAGTCTTTTTTTTGTACTTATTTTTTATTTTGATCATTAAATTTTTTCTTTACAAGGAACTATTTTTTACTTGTAGTAAAACTTTTTGTTATATTTTGGTTTTTGTTTTATAATCATTAAACTATTCTTATTTTTTGTTATTTTGATCATTAAAATTTTATTATATTTGATTATTATTCATTCTACATTAAATAAATTAATTTTAAATGTTCTAAGTTTTTTTTTAGTGAAAAGATTTTCTGTTTTGATTCTTATTTTATTAATTTTTTTATTTTGGTCATTAAAATTCTATAATGTTTACTTTTATTCTTGCCTTATGCATAATGAATGTTTTTTTACTCTTATTTTTTATAAGTTTTGTTTTGTATGCTTTTAGTGAAAGTTTATTTATTTATTTTTATCCTTTTTACAATCTTTACTTTTTTTAATCATTTATTTTTTATCATGTGTAATTTTATATCTATTGTCTTTGCCAAATTCTCGATTTGATAAAGCTTTTTTGTATTTTTGTTTTGGGTAGTCTCTCTATCTCATTAACACAAAACAGATGAATAATATATGGTAAAAATTAGTCATCAAAAATTCAAAAAACTACCATATTATTATTTTTATTATCATTTGTTAGGCATATTTTAAATAAAATACATGTTGATATCAAACAATATCTAATTAGTAACATTATATTACTTAACTTTATAAATTTTTCATTTTGCTAATCCTACGATAAATTATGAAATGTATGTTGTAGTTTTTTTTTAAAATTTTTTTTTTGCATGATATTATTAAATAATGATTTGTAAATATTAAATTTTATATGAATAAATATATAAAAATATTATATAACTTATCCTATAACAACGGATCGATATATGCTAGTAAGAGCCTAAGAAAGAACGATTGTGCCTCCTTGGCTATCTAAGTGGGGCCCATACAATCAACTTTATCGAGTCGAAAAATGAACTAAAGGATATTCTCACGTTGTTTGGCTCTGGCTAGATGATAAAATCTCACTAAATTGTGTGGCGGTGAACACCATTAGGGGACAAGGGGATCAATCCATGCTTCATAAGCTCTCCTAATGATTCAAACAATAATATGGTTTATTATTATTATTATTCAGAGAGCTTAAATCTAGCATGTCTGGAGATGTCTATTTCTGCTGCGAATATATATATATATATATATACATGTGTGTGTGTGGAAATGTCTTTTTCTTCCCACACACCCACACCGCCCCAACCCCCCAAAACAACCCCCCCGGGTTAGCGTCCCCCGGGTTAGCATCTGTTCAATTAATTAGCTAGTTGTCACAAACTGCCACCTTATATGAATTTGCCTTTTTCTTAAACTATCCAATAATACAGCATCACTGACTTGTTTTGATTTTGTTTTGCTTCAACTTACTGAAATATGGCTAACTATTCATCCGGGAGGATAGAGATGGCTTATTTCATATTTAATTGTCTATTTTTCACTCATATATGACATATGCGAGAAACCACACCTTTACACTCACATTATGTCTTTTTCTTGATTGGTTTCTTCCTCTAAGTCGAATTAGGCGGAACCAAATAATTGAGTTCACATATTCAAAATTGATCGCTTTCTTGAAAGAAATAATTAACAAGAAGCGATACGAACATAGACATTGATCTTATCCCATTTTGTTTGCTTTCTGTTACCTGTCCCTAGTTACTAGTATATAAACGTGTAGCATCTTCTCTTTATGAAACAAGAGTAGGATTTAAGTCTGCTTTTAGTAAGATATATAGCTAGCTAGCTCACCACTGGCACATACAGCCCAACCTAAAAATAACAGCCGTAGCATGGCTTGGATGTCAACCACTCTAGTCCTGATTGCACTTGCTCTCTTCCTCCGAGCATGGCTGTCAAAAAGAGAGATCAAGGGTAACAAGTTACCTCCTGGTCCAAGAGGGTTGCCTATATTTGGCAGCTTACATTTATTAGGGAAGTTTCCTCACCATGATTTCCATCAACTAGCAAAGAAATATGGCCCTATCATGTATATGAGGTTAGGTTTGGTGCCTACTGTTGTTGTCTCTTCGCCCGGGGCTGCCGAATTGATTCTTAAGACCAATGACCTTGTGTTTGCTAATAGGCCACCTAATGAGGCTGCAAAGCATATCTCTTACGAGCAGAAGAACTTATCATTTGCTCCATATGGCTCTTATTGGCGCAACGTGCGTAAGATGTGTACCCTTGAGTTGCTTAGTAACCATAAAATAAATTCTTTCATGTCCATGAGGAAAGAAGAGCTTGACCTTTTGATTGACTACATTAAAGAGGCTTCTCGTGAACATGTTGCTGTTGATCTTAGTGCCAAGGTCTCGTCTCTCAGCGCTGACATCAGTTGTAGGATGGTTTTTGGAAAGAAATACACGGACAAGGAATTTGATGAGAAGGGGTTCAAAGCAGTGATTCATGAGGGCATGCGTTTAACGGCAAGTTTTAACTTGGGTGATTACATCCCTCCAATTGCAGCACTTGACCTTCAGGGTCTTACAAAGCGCATGAAGGCCTTAGGCAAGGTGTTCGATAACTTCTTTGAAAAGATTATTGATGAGCACATTCAATTTAAGGATGAAAACAGAACCAAAGACTTTGTTGATGTCATGTTGGACTTCTTGGGATCTGAAGAAACTGAGTATCGTATTGGTCGAGACAACATCAAAGCCATAATTTTGGTAAGAATGCATAGAATTAAAACATCTGTTAGCAATCAACAAATAAATCTATCACGTGATTATCCTTAACCTGTACCTTTCTCTTTCAGGACATGCTTGTAGCCTCAATGGACACTTCAGCAACAGCAATTGCGTGGACGCTCTCCGAACTCATCAAGCATCCTAGAGTAATGACGAAAGTCCAGAAAGAGCTAGAAGAAAAAATAGGCATGGATAGAAGGGTGGAAGAATCAGACTTGGAGGGCTTGGAGTACTTAAACATGGTTATAAAGGAAACTTTCAGGCTCCATCCAGTGGCACCACTACTTGTCCCTCACGAGTCAATGGAAGATTGCACTATAAATGGCTTCCTCATCCCACAAAAAACACGAATTATTGTAAACGTATGGGCTATTGGACGCGACCAAAGCGTCTGGTCTGATGCAAATAAGTTCATTCCAGAGAGGTTTGCTGGGAGTAACGTGGATGTTCGCGGACGCGATTTCCAGCTTCTCCCTTTGGGTCCGGGCGCAGGGGCTGCCCGGGAATGCATTTGGGATTAACCATGGTTCGGCTAATTGTGGCACATCTGGTGCATTGCTTTGACTGGGAGCTTCCTAGCAATATGTTGCCAGATGAGTTGGACATGACAGAGGCATTCAGTCTTGTAACCCCAAGAGCAAACAATCTGTGCGCCATTCCTACTTATCGCCTTCACACTTGATTATGTCTTAAGCAATGTTTTGATTTCTAGTTATGTTCTGTTGAAAGTTCGCTCATGCAAGGACTGTCTTTGCGGCTCTGCTCTATTCTAAGAATGGAATGTTTTACAGCTTTTCAGTTTGGTTTCATGAAATCAATTGTAGAATCATATCAGCACGTTGATGTTTCTTTTTGCCCGTCCAGGATTTCATTCAAATTAAACTTTTCCCCAAAACTTTACTATTTGAATTTTTGAATCCCAAAATTTTTCCTATATGCAATACTCTCAAAATATTTTATTTTTATCTCCCTATCAAATACATGTAGGATTTAGTGTGCGTAATTATTAGCCATTGCCTCCACTTTCACATATAAAAGAGAAGAACTGAGTATTCCTTCGTAAGGGTTTGTGAAGTGTAAATGATGATGGGAAAACATTTTGCAGAGCAGTCAGTTCCTCAATCTTGTTAGTATATGAACTAAATTAACTTATAAATGTAAATCGCAACTATTATTTATGTGGTTTTAAGGTTTTGAGATTATAAAAAAACTAAAACTGTACAAAAGAAAAGAGTTGCAATAGCTTTGGAGATCCTTTTACAAGGTAGCTTTTGACCTTCCAAACTGATTGGGTTGCAGGATTGGACGATGAATAATTCATAGTATAATATAGATTAGGATAGAATTTGAACTTCTTGATCACACGTAATCTTAATAACAGAATCAAAACAACAAGTTATAAATTTAAGCAATCAAAAATGAAGATTCAAAACTTGCAATATAAACAAACAATTAAAAATTTCATAGAACAGTGACAATATTATAGTTCTTTATAATATTTAATTGAATAAATTTACAGTAAATAAAAACAATGAATGCCTATAAACTGACACTCTATACATAACAATAGAACTGTAAAAGACAATGAACGTGAATACAAACGGATAAAAGAACACTATCACCTACTAGATTAGTACCTACTGATTTTCACCTATAAGCTATCAACTACAATTTTATTACCTACTAGCTACTATTTAATAAGTTTCAAGTGTGAAACTTTTAATTGATAATGCTATTTGAGCTATTTATAAGAGTCTAGTTGTTTGTTGTATTGTTGTATGTATTCTTATAGGATTCAGCTTGTTATTTATAGGCTTTCTACTGCTTCATGTCATCTAGAAGTGGACCAGTCCCTCCCTCAGGTTATTGTACTTGATGTTTCTTTCTGCTTGCTCTGCAATGAATTCATGTCTCTTTTCTTTGGGCTGCAGGATTTCATTTTGTTGTTCTTTCATGTTGCAATTCTCCACAATCCTCCTAGTCATTTGGGATCGTATTTTATGTTTATTGAGAGTTTGTTACTCTTTTAATTACCTATATATTAGTAGATACGCATCAATCTTCTTTTAAATGAAATTTTCATGTCATGCGCAACTCTAGAGCCTGCTTTTCTTCGCTTGAGGAAAGTGCTCTAGTATTTTAGTTCTAGATAACTAATTGCATCTCTTAGAGCATGGCTTTGTAAGTGCATTGGGCGCCCCTAATTGGTTGGCTCCTGGTCAACCTTTGGGTGGGTCCTAGCCAATAGGTCTTTAAATAAGGTTAACGAATGGGCCTGTTTTAAGAGTTTGATGAGTTTTTTTTTTTTTTTTTTTTAAACCAATTTTATTGGGTTTGGACCTCTCCTTTTATTTCATGCGTGAGAGCTCTCCTCGCATGTGAAAAGAAATAATTATATGCTGCATGTTTGTTTAGTTCCTAAAATTTAAAACAGTCACTTGGAACCTGACTAGTGCACTTCGGTCCTCTTGTTAAACTGTGACAAAGTGACGTTGCAATCTCTAATTTGTCTTCTTTTTATTGCTAACTTCCGTTACCCATTTTTCTCCTTCCTTACTTTCTTTCTTCGTGTTGTCTGATTCTAGGATGCCTTTTTATTTCTAATGAATTTGCTTGCAAACCTTTCATGCTCTAATCCAATGGCACCACAAAAAATAAAATAAAATAAAATAAATAAATAAATAAAATAAAAATCTTCTAGGGCTTCTTTTATATATATATATATATAAAAAGCTGAAAATTTATCTATGTTTATTTCTGACGTTGCCTTACAATTTAAAAACCTTTGAAAATCAATCCCATCACATTGTCCTCATCTAATTCAATCGTCTCTCTTTTCTCTTGCCGACGAGATTCTCGCTACAACAAAGTCGAGCCCTCCTACCAAAACTCAAGTCTTCCTTCTTGGCCCTTCCCTCTTTGGTGGCTACGGTCGAACGATATTCTTCAACAGGCTAAAGTTCTCTCGAGGCAACTGATCCCAGATGAAAATGCCTTAAAATTTATCTGCCTCACACTACTCGCAGCCTTCAGTGGAAAGACTTTTCCAGTTGCTCCAAGCAACCCTATAGGGCATAGCTTATTGGACAGATGGAAATTTACGATGTCTACACCAATTTGCTTAGTGATGTCCCCTCTGTTTGGGATACGAGGAGCAATTGCATCCATACTGAAAGTGGCCCTCTAGTTATCACTCTAGAGGCTGTGGCATCCATTACTGGTTGTTCTTCTATCGGCATAGACCTAATTTCATGGCTTTTGTAGATTTTTCGGAGAAAGTTGTCAAATATTTCATTCATCAAAATGATTTAAATACAACAAAAACTTAACTAAATTCTAGAAAATATGATGACATGGTCCATAAACAAAACAGCCACTAAACTGAATAGAAAATGCAGAAATTCATGCAGCAACATGCTACCACTAATCCTAGAAAATAGGTCCTTAGTGGAAGAACAAGTCTTCAGCAGTTTGAGCCTTAATACTAACATGTCGAAGCTTACTTGGGATTACAACTGGACTTAATCAGTACAGCTGTAACATAGCAAATTCCTTGTAGCTTCAGAGGCATATTTCGAACAGCTTTTATGCCATTTTTTGCCTCGTACAAAGCCTAATTCCATTCGTGTGTGGTGAAGGCTCAATCCTACTCCAATTATGCAGTCTATTCTGTCTTCGAATGATGGTGACGCATAGAGTCAGGATTCTACTTACTTTGGCTCTGTAAGTACATTGTTTGCTACAGGCTCTCCACCATGAGTTCTAGGTATCTTTCCGAGGCTAAGGCTATGTTGAAGCATATTAAGCTAGTTGTTTTGGCTCTATTGCTCTTGGCATACGCTAATCATTGTGTTTACCAATTTTTTTTTTTTTTTTTTTTAGTCCTTTCACCCGAACTCCTTTTGTCCATTGTGGTTTGTTGTGCTCTGGGCCACTGCCCATTTCCCTCATGTAGTTTCCATTTTTGAGGATTTTGATGAAGGTTGTAATTGTCCAACCTATAGCCATTATTTTAGTGTCTATTCTTCCGCTGTTAATGCTGTCAGTTTTGAGGATTGTGCGACTAACATTTGTTTTGATCCCAAAACCACAATTCTTCCTTCTCTTAGACCCGCTTTTTTCTAGACGGTTTGGTCCAGATTGGTATAGAGTTTGCACCTTAAAGGGTTCTCTAATGGAAGATAATTTAGATTTATAAAGAGTTGTTTCGTCTGGCAAGGAAACCTTTTTTTTTTTTTTTTTTTCCTTGTAGATAGTTGTTAAGTCGAGCCATATTATCCTAACCTCTTTGCCAGACAGTTGGGGTTCCTTCAGGACATCCCTGTCTTTTCTTTCATTATACAACTCTCCCATGTATCTTAAGAGGCCTCTTGGTAAAGAAGAGACCTCAAATTTGATTGAAAGGAATGTTCTTTCTTATATTATGGTGCTAGAGCTTCCTCTAGTGAAGATGGTTTACAGAATCTCTAAGGCGTTCCTTCTTTGGAGGCGTTCTATGGCTTTGGGAAAACAATTGTCCACCTCATATGTGAAGGCCTCATTTTCAATTACCAATCAAGTATTTGAAGATTGTCCGAAGAAACTCATAGAGCAATCTTGTAGTCTTAAGGTGAACCTTAATTTTCCAAGGAGTATTTGATACAAAGGTGACGTAGTGAAAACTTACGAAAGAAAAATAAATACTATTGATCTAAATTTAAGATGCGAGTCTAATATAACATATTGAATTTTGTACAAATATAAAAAAATAGGTTTCAATTCTGCTGATTCAAAGAATGTTAAAAATTGGGATAAAACTAAGATACTCTCTTATAAAATTTTTCTACCTCAAAATCATACATAAATAGTAAATTTTGACCAAAACTCTAAAGCAATTCAAAAATGAAACAAATACTAAAAGTTCAAAAAAATAGGAAAAAAATTCAAAAAACAAGTAAAAGTAAATTTTGAGGGCCTAAACTATTTTTTTGGCCAAAATCACCCTCATGTCATGGGTAAAGTTGATGAGCTTTGATCATTGGCTCGTTTGACATCGATATTGGTTAAAAAAAACCTTAAAATTAGGCTGAAAATTTTTATTTAGCTTCTACCACACTCATACCATTCCATGAATTTCAAGGCCTATTGGTCCGCATCAAAAAGTATTCCTAAGGAGGTGAAAAAAATTAAAGAGGAAGAGATTACCCTCACTAAGTTAGTAAAGAAGGGTGGGAAGTATAAGGATGCCACTCTTAAAAGTAATTATTTCTCCTTCTTGTATTTATTGATTCATTTACTTATCTACCCGGACTCTTCTATCTTTCTAGTCTCTCATCCCAGCTCTAAAAGGACTCGTCGGGTAAAAGTGAGAATCATCAAAGGCTATTGTTGATGTCGTCCTATCTTTTTAGAAGCCATTGATCTTAGTGATTAAGGATCAATCATTTAACAACCTCGATATCCGCCTCCTCCGGTTCTAAAAAAGGAAAAGGAAACTTATGATTCCGGACAGTTCAAATACTAATGATGATGGTACTCCTTTCATTCATTGTGGTCCTATCTCCAAGATAGCAAGAGAGACTTCTTCTTCCTCAGTTCATGCCTTATTAATCCTAAACTCTTTAATGTGTCCTTGTTTCTTTACCTTTGATTGAGGTAATCTTCTTTTTCATATGTCATTTAATTTGTTTTGATATTTCTTATTTATCGACATTTTTTTTATGGATGGTGGTAGGAAATTGACCCTCAATAGGGAGTTTTGCTTCCCGTGGGAATCTCTAACATCCTAGCTCCCTTTTTAAAGATCTTGCTCATAAGGATAAAATATTGCTAGAGTCTCTCACTATTTCAAACTTTCATGTTTTGACAATAGTTGTTTTTTAAGGGACAAATTTGCTAGCAATTGTCCTTATTACTCATGCAATTGAGGAACATACTCATGAGGGGGTTGTTAAACTTAATCATGGGGAAGTGAGGGAAGAACCTCGGATTTTCTCTCCTTTAACTAAGGTTGTAGGAGGGGACTAGAATCCCCTATGAAAGGGTATAGAGTAGATACTTTTGATGTTGTAGAGGTTATGTCTTTCATTAAACCTTCTCCTATTGATCATGCGAGGACATGGTACGGAAGCATCCTTCCTCCCATTTGGCCGAATGTTTGGCTCTCCATAGTAAGCGAAATTTTCAGTCCTTTATCTATCTATTTTGTTTTTATTTATTTATTTAAGTTGGATTTTATTTATTTTGGTTATTTTTATTTGTATGGACCTAGGCTAATTAATTATTCCTCATAGGATTTTGGTTTTCCTACTTAATTAGGACATGACCGTATGTGGCTTAGGTGGATAATTAAATATTGTGTAATGTGGATCCTTATTTGTTAGAAATTAGTTAGAAATTTCTTATTTATTTATGAGTTCATGTAATATGAGGATTCATGTTTAATTAGTCCGAATTAAATAAAACCTAATTGAATATGGATGACATAAGTTAAAGTCTAGTTAGGAAAATAATTCTATTTAGGAAAAGAGTTATAGAGTCATAATTGGCCAACGAAGAGAAGACTCAACCTTAGCCAATTCTTAGGGTCATTATGTTAGTATTTAAGCACACTTTGTACTTCTTTTTCGTAGAATTTGATTAAAAATTTGAATGAAAAATTGAGAGATTTTTTTACAACTTATTGTGTATCTCTTTTGTTTGGATTGACTAGGATGTTATTAACGGATCCTTAGACTAATCGATTAAGGTGGGCTTAGATCAATAATTGCATCGGGTATACTCTTGGCAAACGTATCTTACAAGTGTTCTCTATATAAACTTGGCTAGAAGATTCTTCTTAGAGGTGAGGTATAGGGGCTTGTTTTTTATTTTTGTAATTGCTTGATAATTGTAGGCCGATTAGGATTCCAAGTCTTAATATATTCAATCTCAAAACCGATAACCAAGAATAGGAATTTTATTTTGATATAAAATTTTGATAGTAGTTATTTAAGGGGTTGATTTTTCTCTTGTTAAGAAATCAAAAAATTTCAAAAATATTTGAGTGGGTTTTGGGAGTTTTGAAATCATTGTAAATTTTGAAACATATTCTATTTAGAATTTTGACTTATTGAAATAAAGGGTTATAACTCTTAGATTGAGTTTAAATTTAGTATAAACATAAATCTTGACATTATCTATGTTATGTAAAAATTTTAGCCAAGTTTTATTTAATATGCTAGATTAACGCACCTCTCCTAGATTCGGATTTTGTTAGTTTATGGTTTGATGATTATGTGATTTGGTTTGTGTTGAGGATCTTGTTCATTATGATTTGGCCTTTGATTATGTGTTATTTAAGCTTTTTTTGGAGTGTGATTGAGACTATTTTATAACTTGGGTGTTTTAGCTTAGGGATACTTGTTTGTTATTTGCATGTTTAAGATTCTATAGGTTTTCATATCTCTTGATTCGGAATTAATTTGGCATCGAGTTGAAGTTTGCTTCTTATTATGTATTAGTCAATTGTAGAGATGGTTGTTACAAGAGTGTTGAGTGCGGACATGGTTGCTGAAAACAAAGGGGTTAGGGTAATATTTTTCACACTCATTGTAGATCTCATCACAAGGTGTGTGAATTGATCATCGAAAAATGTATTTATGAGAATATAATGTAATGAGAATCTAGATGCTAGAGGGTCTGCTTTGGGCTGATTCATTAGTGAAGGTATTTGGGTCAAAAGCTTCTACATAATTTAGGCCAAAGGGAGCTCGCTGGTTTTGGACTTTGAAATACCATAAGATTTGGGTCATTTGGGTTATGAGATTGGGCTACTAAATTACTACTACAAAACCTTTATTTCTTCTATTCCAAATCGGACTTATATCACTTTGGACTTTCAATTTTTGTCGCCATTCTAGCTATCCAAAGTTAGAGATCTAAGTATCAAGTCGGTATTCCATAATCAAAGCTCATAGAATATCAATTCAGCCTTTATATAAAGCATATCTTATAATTTAGAAGATGAATTAGATCAATTAAATTACTTTGGGAGATTATTCTCTCTTTTTCAATTCTCCTTAGAAATATCGAATTTATCAAGAATTAAAATCTCTTATGGCATTCTAGTGACTTATCACTCTCCTTCTTTCTATTTGGAGTGTGTCATCCATATCCTTCTACACCTTTTTGGGTTTTTGGGGATCGTTTTAGCTTAATTATGGGTTCTTTAACCATCGAGTTAGGTGGGTTCATATCAGTTGGTATCAAAGCTCGGTTTCTAATCAAGTTCTTTTTTCTATTTGATTAATTTCAATTCCTCATAGTTTTTTTAGTCCAATTTTTGATTAGTCCAACTATTAAAAAAAAAAAAAATAGAATAAGTGATCTGTTCTAATTTGAGTCCATCCAAATTTGTTTGAATTGTTTGAAATTTCTTGTTGTTTGAATTTAGTTCTTTTTTTTATATTGAGTCTAAATCTTCTAATTAGTTGTCCAAATTCCGAAATTGTTCATTTGTTGTCAAAATTAGTTAGAGTTGTATCGCCCCTATTAAATGTCTAAGGCTACAAAAATTTGATTATTATATACTAATTGTATTATGCCATTATTAAAAAAATATATAAAAAAAAAGAATCAATTTAGTGTGTGTTCTTAAATCTAAAGTATTTTGTTTTAATTCAGACTCATTCGGACCAAATCGTCTAAAAATCAGTCATAGAGTCTTTTGTTTAGTTATCTTTTGATCAATCAATTCTATCTAAAAATCTAATTTTGTGGATTGAACTCCTCATCATTATTTAAATTTAATCATATCCGAAACTATTGTTTGTCCAAAATTTCAATTTGTATTCTTATTATTCAAATTGTCCAAAACCATACTTCTTTGGGTGAGTGAAGTTTTTTCCATTAAAATCCTAAGAAACGCATGTGGGAGTGTTTGTGAGATTTTTTCTAACATTTTGTGCAAATATAAAAATCATGTCTTCATCATTATTAGCCAAAAAGAAAATTTGATATGATTGGTAGCAACTAGAAATAAGAGATATAAAACAATCGATGCCAAAGGATCCGTCTAAGGCTCTTCAAATTAAGATTAGACTTATGAGATGAATAATTAAACTTTATAAAGAAGAAGCTCTCCAATGATAGAATGAGGCAATCAAAACTATAAATTTTTAAGAAAATAGTGTCAACACGAGAGGTTGATGTGGTTAAAACCTTTTGTTGAAAAATTTCAATACCAAGATGAAGATTTGATATCTAAAACTTTTGAAGTTGTTCTTGCCGAATAAGATGTTAATGAGGCCAACTTTGTAGGTGTTGAAAACACTCAAGACTCTAGTAAAAGTGTTGACAAAACTATTGTCCTTGATGATGTTATTGATGTCAAAAATTTCGATGACATAGTCACTATTGTTGCTTGGACTTTCTAAGAGTGTTGATGACGAAGATGAGGGTTTTTTTGAGTGTGTTAATGTTTTGGTTTCCGTTGAGGTAGTTTATGCTTCCATTGTTATTGATAAGGTAAGCATTGATTTTCTTAGTGTTGCCAACTTGTTCAATATACTTGTTTATTTCATTGATGCTTAGTTTTGATGATGTTGGAAATAAAAATTTTATTGGTATCCATTGGGGTACTAGCAACTTGTATTATGCATACTTTGATTTTTCTATAACTAATATCATTATTTGTTATCCATAAGTTAAGATTCGAGGATGAATCATTTTGAAGAATGGGGGAATTATGAGAATCCGGATGCTAAAGGGGTTGTTTTGGACTCGATTCATTGGTGAAGATATTTAGGTAAAAAGTTTTTACCTATTTTGGGCTAAGGGAGTTGCTATTTTTGGACCTTGAATTGCCACAAGAGTAAGGCCATTTGGGTTGTACGATTGGGCTACCAAATTACTACTACCAAACCTTTATTTACGCCAAGTTGTTTAATCCATTCCAAATTAGACTTCTAATTTTCGTCGCCATTCTAGTCGTGCCAAGTCGAGTTCTAACTTCCAAGTTAATATTCCATAATCAAAGACCATTATTTTGGCTATCAAAGTCTAAGGGCTTTCTATAGAATTCCAATCCACTTTGTTGAAATCTAAGAAGACTTGAATTAATATTTAATTATTATTTTTTGTTGATCCTGTGTCATACTTATGTTTTGTTGAATTCTAAGCATTTTAGATTAATAGATTTACTAGAATATCAATTCAACCTTAATATAAGGCATATCTTGGAATTTAAAAGATGAATAAGATTGATTAAATTATTTTGTGACATGATTCTCTCTTTTTAGTTCTCTCAATAACTATCAAGCTTATCAAAAATTCATATCTTTATGGTGTTCACCCGAACTTATGAAGAATTAAAACCTCTTATGGAATTCAAGCGACTTACCGGTCTTTTTTTTTCTATCTGAAGTGTGGCATCCATATCCTTCTAAACCTTTTTGGCTTTTCAAGAATCATTTTGGCTTGACTATAGGTTCTCTAGCCATCGAGCTAAGTGGGTTCACATCACGGTGTCTTCTCAAATAGTTGAGAAGTTGAGCTTAACAATGATTGATCATCCTAACCCTTAGTCGTTGTCTTAGTTATGAAAAGGGAATGAGATTTGTATGTTAAAAAGGTGTTTAGTATCATTCTCTATTGGTAAGGCATGTTGATAAGGTTTGGTGTGATGTGATATCAATAGATGTTTGCCATTTATTGTTAGGGAGACCTTGACATTATGATCATAGGGTCATGCATAATGGGTTTTAGAATACCTATGCTTTTACGTTCAATGGAGTAAAATTTTATTGTTATCAATGAAGAGTGAGATTTTGACTTCTTATGTTAGTGAGTAAGAGGAGGTTGTTACTAAATTTATGCTCATGAAGAGTGGAGTAAGAGAAATTAAAGAACAAAAATTCCAACAACAAGATAAGGGTTTTGAAGCTAAGATTTTGAAAGATGATGGTATTAAAGAAGAGGTTAAAGTAGCTAACCTTATTAGTGTTAAAGAAGTGGTTGAAGAACCTAATTCTTTTAGTGTTGAAGAC